GGAAATTTTTGAACTTGAGATTTGTGGAAATTGTTAAACTTGAGAATTGGGTATTGGTTGAACTTGATTTTTTTGTGTTTTTTAACTTGAGTTTGTGTCGTGTTTGAACTTGAGTTTGTGGTGTTTTTGAACTTGAGTTTCTGTTGTTTTTGAACTTGAGGTATTGGAAATTGTTAAACCTTTGAATCAGGTGTTGGTTTAACTTGAGTTTGTGTGTTTGTTGAACTTGAGTTTGTGTCATGTTTGAACTTGAGTTTGTGGTGTTTTTGAACTTGAGTTTGTGTGTTTGTTGAACTTGAGTTTGTGTTTGAACTTGAGTTTGTGGTGTTTTTGAACTTGAGTTTGTGTCGTGTTTTAACTTGAGTTTGTGTGTTTGTTTAACTTGAGTTTGTGTTGTGTTTGAACTTGAGTTTGTGGCGTTTGTTGAACTTGAGTTTCTGTTGTTTTTGAACTTGAATTTGTGTCGTGTTTGAACTTGAGTTTGTGGCGTTTGTTGAACTTGAGTTTGTGTCGTGTCTGAACTTGAGTTTGTGGTGTTTTTGAACTTGAGTTTTCTGGTGTTTTTGAACTTGAGGGTGTGGAATTTGTTAAACTTGAGAATTGGGTATTGGTTTAACTTGAGTTTGTGTGTTTGTTGAACTTGAGTTTGTGTCAAGTTTGAACTTGAGTTTGTGGTGTTTTTTAACTTGAGTTTGTGTGTTTGTTGAACTTGAGTTTGTGTTTGAACTTGAGTTTGTGGTGTTTTTGAACTTGAGTTTGTGTCGTGTTTTGAACTTGAGGTATTGGAAATTGTTAAACCTTTGAATCAGGTGTTGGTTTAACTTGAGTTTGTGTGTTTGTTGAACTTGAGTTTGTGTCATATTTGAACTTTAGCTTGTGGTGTTTTTGAACTTGAGTTTGTGTGTTTGAACTTGAGTTTGTGGTGTTTTTGGACTTGAGTTTGTGTCGTGTTTAAACTTGAGGGTGTGGAATTTGTTTAACTTGACAATTTGGTATTGGTTGAACTTGAGTTTGTGGGGTTTTTCTGAACTTGAGTTTGTGGAAATTGTTTAACTTGAGAATCAGGTGTTGGATGAACTTGAGTTAGTGTTTGTTGAACTTGAGTTTGTGTTGTGTTGGAACTTAAGTTTTTGGTGTTTTTGATCTTGAGTTTGTGTGCTTGTTGAACTTGAGTTTGTGTTGTGTTTGAACTTGAGTTTGTGTTTTTTTTTAACTTGAGTTTGTTTCATGTTTGAAATTGAGTTTTTGGTGTTTTTGAACTTGAATTTTTGGTTTTTTTGAAATTGAGCTTGTGGAAGTTGTTAAACTTGAGAATTGGGTATTGGTTGAACTTGAGTTTTTTGTGTTTTTGAACTTGAGTTTGTGTCGTGTTTGAACTTGAGTTTATGGTGTTTTTGAACTTGAGTTTGTGGTGTTTTTGAACTTGAGGTTGTGGAAATTGTTAAACTTGAGAATTGGGTATTGGTTGAACTGATTTTTTTGTGTTTTTGATCTTGATTTTGTGTTGTGTTTGAACTTGAGTTTATGGGTTTTTTTAACTTGAATTTGCATGTTTGGTGAACTTGAGTTTTCGTGTTTGTTTGAACTTGAGTTTCTGTTTTTTTGAACTTGAGTTTTTGGTGGTCTTGAACTTGAGGTTGTGGAAATTGTTAAACCTTATAATCGGGTGTTGGTTGATCTTGAGTTTGTTTGTTTTTTGAACTTGAGTTTGTTTGTTTTTTGAACTTGAGTTTGTGGTGTGTTTGAACTTGAGTTTGTGTGTTTGTTGAACTTGAGTTTGTGTTGTTTTTGAACTTGAGTTTTTGGTGTTTTTGAACTTGAGGTTGTGGAAATTGTTAAACTTGAGAATTGGGTATTGGTTGAACTTGAGTTTTTTGTGTTTTTAAATTGGGTTTGTGTAGTGTTTGAACCTGAGTTTGTGGTGTTTTTGAACTTGAAGTTGTGTTTATTTTTAACTTGAGGGTGTGAAATTTTTTAAAGTTGAGAATCGGGTTTTGGTTGAACTTGAGTTTGTGGTGTTTTTGAACTTGAGTTTGTCCGTGTTAGAACTTGAGTTTTTGGCGTTTGTTGAACTTGAGTTTCTGTTGTTTTTGAACTTGAGTTTGTGTCGTGTTTGAACTTGAGTTTGTGTGTTTGTTGAACTTGAGTTTGTGTTATGTTTGAACTTGAGTTTGTGTCGTGTATGAACTTGAGTTTGTGTCGTGTTTTTGAACTTGAGTTTTTGGTGTTTTTGAACTTGAGGGTGTGGAATTTGTTAAACTTGAGAATTGGGTATTGGTTGAATTTGAGTTTGTGTGTTTGTTGAAATTGAGTTTGTGTCATGTTTGAACTTGAGTTTGTGGTCTTTTTGAACTTGAGTTTGTGTGTTTTTTGAACTTGAGTTGTGGCGTTTTTTTAAACTCTAGTTTGTGGCAATTGTTAAACTTGAGATTTGGTTGTTGGTTGAACTTGAGTTTGTGTCGTGTTTGAACTTGAGTTCGTGTTGTTTGTTGAACTTGAATTTGTGTGTTTTTTGAACTTAATTTTTTGAACTTGAGTTTGTGGCAATATTTGAACTTGAGTCTGTGGTTTTTGGTGAACTTTAATTGGTGGTGTTTTTGAACTTGAGTTTTTGGTGTTTTTGAACTTGAGTTTGTTTCGGGTTTGAACTTTGTTTGTGGTGTTTTTGAACTTGAGTTTTTGATGTTTTTGAACTTGAGGGTGTGTTGTGTTTTTGAACTTGAGTTTGTGGTGTTTTTGAACTTGAGTTTGTTTCGTGTTTGAACTTGAGTTTGTGGCGTTTGTTGAACTCTAGGTTGTGGCAATTGTTGAACTTGAGATTTGGGTTTTGGTTCAACTTAAAAGTTTGGCATTTGTTGAACATGAGTTTGTGTGTTTGTTGAACTTAAGTTTGTGTTGTGTTTGAACTTGAGTTTCTGTTTTTTTAACTTGTGTTTGTTTCTTGTTTGAACTTGAGTTTGTGGCGTTTGTTGAAATTGAGTTTGTGTTGTGTTTGAACTTGAGTTAATGGGGTATTTGAACTTGAGTTTGTGGTTTTTTTTAACTTGAGGGTGTGGAATTTGTTAAACTTTAGAATTGGGTATTGGTTGAACTTGAGTTTGTGATGTTTTCGAACTTGAGTTTTTGGTATTTTTGAACTTGAGGTTGTGGAAATTGTTAAACTTGAGAATTGGGTATTGGTTGAAGTTGATTTTTTTGTGTTTTTTAACTAGAGTTTGTGTCGTGTTTGAACTTGAGTTTGTGGTGTTTTTGAACTTGAGTTTCTGTTGTTTTTGAACTTGAGGTATTGGAAATTGTTAAACCTTTGAATCAGGTGTTGGTTTAACTTGAGTTTGTGTGTTTGTTGAACTTGAGTTTGTGTCATGTTTGAACTTGAGTTTGTGGTGTTTTTTAACTTGATTTTGTGTGTTTGTTGAACTTGAGTTTGTGTTTGAACTTGAGTTTGTGGTGTTTTTGAACTTGAGTTTGTGTCGTGTTTTAACTTGAGTTTGTGTGTTTGTTTAACTTGAGTTTGTGTTGTGTTTGAACTTGAGTTTGTGGCGTTTGTTGAACTTGAGTTTCTGTTGTTTTTGAACTTGAATTTGTGTCGTGTTTGAACTTGAGTTTGTGGCGTTTGTTGAATTTGAGTTTGTGTCGTGTCTGAACTTGAGTTTGTGGTGTTTTTGAACTTGAGTTTTCTGGTGTTTTTGAACTTGAGGGTGTGGAATTTGTTAAACTTGAGAATTGGGTATTGGTTGAACTTGAGTTTGTGTGTTTGTTGAACTTGAGTTTGTGTCGAGTTTGAACTTGAGTTTGTGGTGTTTTTTAACTTGATTTTGTGTGTTTGTTGAACTTGAGTTTGTGTTTGAACTTGAGTTTGTGGTGTTTTTGAACTTGAGTTTGTGTTGTTTTTGAACTTGAGGTATTGGAAATTGTTAAACCTTTGAATCAGGTGTTGGTTTAACTTGAGTTTGTGTGTTTGTTGAACTTGAGTTTGTGTCATATTTGAACTTTAGCTTGTGGTGTTTTTGAACTTGAGTTTGTGTGTTTGAACTTGAGTTTGTGGTGTTTTTGGACTTGAGTTTGTGTCGTGTTTAAACTTGAGGGTGTGGAATTTGTTTAACTTGACAATTTGGTATTGGTTGAACTTGAGTTTGTGGGGTTTTTCTGAACTTGAGTTTGTGGAAATTGTTTAACTTGAGAATCAGGTGTTGGATGAACTTGAGTTAGTGTTTGTTGAACTTGAGTTTGTGTTGTGTTTGAACTTGAGTTTGTGTTTTTTTTTAACTTGAGTTTGTTTCATGTTTGAAATTGAGTTTTTGGTGTTTTTGAACTTGAATTTTTGGTGTTTTTGAAATTGAGCTTGTGGAAGTTGTTAAACTTGAGAATTGGGTATTGGTTGAACTTGAGTTTTTTGTGTTTTTGAACTTGAGTTTGTGTCGTGTTTGAACTTGAGTTTATGGTGTTTTTGAACTTGAGTTTGTGGTGTTTTTGAACTTGAGGTTGTGGAAATTGTTAAACTTGAGAATTGGGTATTGGTTGAACTGATTTTTTTGTGTTTTTGATCTTGATTTTGTGTTGTGTTTGAACTTGAGTTTATGGGTTTTTTTAACTTGAATTTGCATGTTTGGTGAACTTGAGTTTTCGTGTTTGTTTGAACTTGAGTTTCTGTTTTTTTGAACTTGAGTTTTTGGTGGTCTTGAACTTGAGGTTGTGGAAATTGTTAAACCTTATAATCGGGTGTTGGTTGAACTTGAGTTTGTTTTTTGAACTTGAGTTTTTGGTGTGTTTGAACTTGAGTTTGTGGTGTTTTTGAACTTGAGTTTGTGTGTTTGTTTAACTTGAGTTTGTGTTGTTTTTGAACTTGAGTTTTTGGTGGTCTTGAACTTGAGGTTGAGGAAATTGTTAAACTTGAGAATTGGGTATTGGTTGAACTTGCGTTTTTTGTGTTTTTAAATTGGGTTTGTGTAGTGTTTGAACCTGAGTTTGTGGTGTTTTTGAACTTGAAGTTGTGTTTATTTTTAACTTGAGGGTGTGAAATTTTTTAAAGTTGAGAATCGGGTTTTGGTTGAACTTGAGTTTGTGGTGTTTTTGAACTTGAGTTTGTCCGTGTTAGAACTTGAGTTTTTGGCGTTTGTTGAACTTGAGTTTCTGTTGTTTTTGAACTTGAGTTTGTGTCGTGTTTGAACTTGAGTTTGTGTGTTTGTTGAACTTGAGTTTGTGTTGTGTTTGAACTTGAGTTTGTGTCGTGTTTGAACTTGAGTTTGTGGTGTTTTTGAACTTGAGTTTTTGGTGTTTTTGAACTTGAGGGTGTGGAATTTGTTAAACTTGAGAATTGGGTATTGGTTGAATTTGAGTTTGTGTGTTTGTTGAACTTGAGTTTGTGTCATGTTTGAACTTGAGTTTGTGGTCTTTTTGAACTTGAGTTTGTGTGTTTTTTGAACTTGAGTTGTGGCGTTTTTTTAAACTCTAGTTTGTGGCAATTGTTAAACTTGAGATTTGGTTGTTGGTTGAACTTGAGTTTGTGTCGTGTTTGAACTTGAGTTCGTGTTGTTTGTTGAACTTGAATTTGTGTGTTTTTTGAACTTGAGTTTTGTTTTTGAACTTGAGTTTGTGGCAATATTTGAACTTGAGTCTGTGGTTTTTGGTGAACTTTAATTGGTGGTGTTTTTGAACTTGAGTTTTTGGTGTTTTTGAACTTGAGTTTGTTTCGGGTTTGAACTTTGTTTGTGGTGTTTTTGAACTTGAGTTTTTGATGTTTTTGAACTTGAGGGTGTGTTGTGTTTTTGAACTTGAGTTTGTGGTGTTTTTGAACTTGAGTTTGTTTCGTGTTTGAACTTGAGTTTGTGGCGTTTGTTGAACTCTAGGTTGTGGCAATTGTTGAACTTGAGATTTGGGTTTTGGTTCAACTTAAAAGTTTGGCATTTGTTGAACATGAGTTTGTGTGTTTGTTGAACTTAAGTTTGTGTCTTGTTTGAACTTAAGTTTGTGTCTTGTTTGAACTTGAGTTTGTGGTGTTTTCAAACTTGAGTTTTTGGTGTCTTTGAACTTGAGTTTTTGGTGTTTTTGAACTTGAGTTTGAATCGTGTTTGAACTTGAGTTTGTGGTGTTTTTGAACTTGAGTTTGTGGTGTTTTTGAACTTGAGGTGTTGGAAATTGTGAAACTTGAGAATTGGGTATTGGTTGAACTTGAGTGTGTTTTTTGAACTTGAGGTTGTGGTGTTTTTGAACTTGAGTTTGTGGTGTTTTGTACTTGAGTTTGTGTTATTTTTCAACTTGAGGTTGTGGAACTTGTTAAACTTGAGAATCAGGTGTTGATTGAACTTGAGTATTTGTTTTTTTTTAACTTGAGTTTGTGTCGTGTTTGAGCTCGAGTTTGTGGTGTTTTTGAATTTGAGTTTGCGTGTTTGTTAAACTTGAGTTTGTGTTTTTTTAACTTGAGTTTGTTGTTTCTGAACTTGAGTTTGTGGCAATTGTCTAACTTGAGTTTGACATTTGTTGAACTTGGGTTTGTGGTTTTTGTTGAACTTGAGTTTGTGGTGTTTTTGAACTTGAGGTTGTGGAATTTGTTAAACTTGAGAATTGGGTATTGGTTGAAATTGAGTTTGTGTGTTTGTTGAACTTGAGTTTGTGTCGTGTTTGAACTTGAGTTTATGTTTTTTTTGAACTTGAGTTTGTGGTGTTTTTGAACTTGAGGTTTTTAGAAATTGTTGAACTTGAAAATTTGGTATTGGATGAACTTGAGTTTGTGTGTTTGTTGAACTTGAGTTTGTGTCGTGTTTGAACTTTGGTTTGTGGTGTTTTTTGAGCCTGAGGTTGTGGTGTTTTTGAACTTGAGTTTGTGTTGCTTTTGAACTTTAGGTTGTGGCAATTTCTAAAATTGAGATTTGGGTGTTGGTTGAACTTAAAAGTTTGTCATTTGTTGAACTTGAGTTTGTGGTTTTTGTTGAACTTGAGTTTGTGTCGTGTTTGAACTGTAGGTTGTGGTTTTTTTGAGCTCGAGTATTTGTGATTGTTGAACTTAAGTTTTTGGTGTGTTTGAACTTGAGTTTGTGTTTTTTTTTAAGTTGAGGTTGTGGTTTTTTGAACTTCAGTTTGTGGAAATTGTTAAACTTGAGGATTGGGTGGTGGTTGAACTTGAGTTTGTGGTGTTTTTAGAACTTGAGGTTGTGGTGTTTTTGACTTGAGTTCGTGGCGTGTTTGAACTTCAGTTTGTGGAAATTGTTAAACTTGAGGATTGGGTGTTGGTTGAACTTGAGTTTGTGGTGTTGTTTGAACTTGAGTTTGTGGTGTTTTTTGAGCTTGAGGTTGTGGTGTTTTTGAGCTTGAGTTTGTGGCATGTTTTAACTTGAGGTTGTGGAAAAACGTAAACTTGAGATTTGGGTGTTGATTGAACTTGAGTTTGTTTCGTGTTTGATCTTGAGGTTGTGGTGTTTTTGAACTTGAGGTTTCTTGTTTGTTTAACTTGAGTTTGTGTGTTTTTTGAACTTGAGTTTGTTGTTTCTGAACTTGAGGTTTTGGCAATTGTTGAACTTGAGTCTGTGGTTTTTAGTGAACTTTAGTTGGTTGCAATTGTTGAACATGAGTTTATGGCGTTTGTTGAACTTGAGTTTGTGACGTGGATGAACTTGAGTTTGTGTTATTTTTGAACTTGAGGTTGTGGCAATTTCTAAAATTGAGAATTGGGTGTTGGTTGAACTTAAAAGTTTGACATTTGTTGAACTTGAGTGTGGTTTTTGTTGAACTTGAGTTTGTTTCGTGTTTGAACTTGAGGTTGTGGTGTTTTTGAACTTGAGGTTTCTTGTTTGTTTAACTTGAGTTTTTGGCGTGTTTGAACTTGAGTTTGTGGTTTTTTTAACTTGAGGTTGTGGTTTTTTGAACTTCAGTTTGTGGAAATTTTTAAACTTGAGGATTGGGTGGTGGTTGAACTTGAGTTTGTGGTGTTTTTTTAACTTGAGGTTGTGGTGTTTTTGACTTGAGTTCGTCGCGTGTTTGAACTTGAGGTTGTTGCAATTGTTAAACTTGAGATTTGGGTGTATGTTGAACTCCAGTTTGTGTTGTGTTTGAACTTGAGGTTGTGGTATTTTTTAATTGAGTTTGTGGCGGTTTTTGAACTTGAGTTTGTGGCGTGTTTGAACTTGAGATTGTGGCGTGTTTGAACTTGAGTTTGTGGTGGTTTTTGAACTTGAGGTTGTGAAAATTGTTAAAACTATAGAATTAGGTGTTGGTTGAACTTGAGTTTGTGGGGTTTTTTTAGCTTGAGTTTGTGGTTTTTGTTGAACTTGAGTTTGTGTCGTTTTTGAGCTTGAGGTTGTGGTGTTTTTAAACTTGAGTTTGCGTGTTTGTTTAACTTGAGTTTGTGTGTTTTTTTAACTTGAGTTTGTTGTTTCTGAAGTTGAGGTTTTGGCAATTGTTGAACTTGAGTCTGTTGTTTTTAGTGAACTTTAGTTGGTGGCAATTGTTGAACTTGAGTTTGTGGCATTTGTTAAACTTGAGTTTGTGACGTGTTTAAACATGATTTTGTGGTGTTTTTGAACTCGAGTTTGTGGTGTTTTTGAACTTGAGGTTGTGGAAATTGTTAAACTTGAGAATTGGGTATTGGTTGAACTTGAGTTTGTGTGTTTGTTGAACTTGAGTTTGTGTCATGTTTGAACTTCAGTTTGTGGTGTTTTTGAACTCGAGTTTTTGTGTTTATTGAACTTCAGTTTGTGTCGTGTTTGAACTTGAGTTTGTGGTGTTTTTTGAACTTGAAGTTGTGTGTTTTTTTGAACTTGAGTTTGTGGCGGTTTTTGAACTTGAGGTTGTGGCAATTGTTGAACTTGAGTTTGTGACGTGTTTGAACTTGATTTTGTGGTGTTTTTGAACTTGAGTTTGTGGTGTTTTTGAACTTGAGTTCGTGGTGTTTGTGGAATTTGAGTTTGTGTCGTGTTTGAACTTGAGGTTGTGGTGTTTTTCAACTCGAGTTTTTGTGTTTGTTGAACTTCAGTTTGTGTCGTGTTTGAACTTGAGTTTGTGGTGTTTTTTGAACTTGAGTTTGTGGTGTTTTTTGAACTTGAGGTTGTGGTGTTTTTGACTTGAGTTCGTGGCGTGTTTGAACTTGAGGTTGTTGCAATTGTTAAACTTGAGATTCGGGTGTTGGTTGAACTTAAAACTTTGCCATTTGTTGAACTTGAGTTTGTGGTGTATGTTGAACTCCAGCTTGTGTTGTGTTTGAACCTGAGTTTGTGGCGGTTTTTGAACTTGAGTTTGTGGCGTGTTTGAACTTGAGATTGTGGCGTGTTTGAACTTGAGTTTGTGGTGGTTTTTGAACTTGAGGTTGTGAAAATTGTTAAAACTTGAGAATCAGGTGTTGGTTGAACTTGAGTTTGTGGTTTTTGTTGAACTTGAGTTTGTGGTTTTTGTTGAACTTGAGTTTGTGTCGTGTTTGAACTTGAGGTTGTGGTGTTTTTGAACTTGAGGTTTCTTGTTTGTTTAACTTGAGTTTGTGTGTTTTTTGAACTTGAGTTTGTTGTTTCTGAACTTGAGGTTTTGGCAATTGTTGAACTTAAGTCTGGTTTTTAGTGAAATTTAGTTGGTTGCAATTGTTGAACATGAGTTTATGGCGTTTGTTGAACTTCAGTTTGTGACGTGGATGAACTTGAGTTTGTGTTATTTTTGAACTTGAGGTTGTGGCAATTTCTAAAATTGAGAATTGGGTGTTGGTTGAACTTAAAAGTTTGACATTTGTTGAACTTGAGTTTGTGTGTTTGTTGAACTTGAGTTTGTGTCGTGTTTGAACTTGAGGTTGTGGTTTTTTTGAACTCGAGTTTTTGTGTTTGTTGAACTTCAGTTTGTGGAAATTTTTAAACTTGAGGATTGGGTGGTGGTTGAACTTGAGTTTGTGGTGTTTTTTGAACTTGAGGTTGTGGTGTTTTTGACTTGAGTTCGTGGCGTGTTTGAACTTGAGGTTGTTGCAATTGTTAAACTTGAGATTTGGGTGTTGGTTGAACTTAAAACTTTGCCATTTTTTGAACTTGAGTTTGTGGTGTATGTTGAACTCCAGCTTGTGTTGTGTTTGAACTTGAGGTCGTGGTATTTTTGAATTGAGTTTGTGGAGGTTTTTGAACTTGAGTTTGTGGCGTGTTTGAACTTGAGATTGTGGCGTGTTTGAACTTGAGTTTGTGGTGGTTTTTGAACTTGAGGTTGTGAAAATTGTTAAAACTTGAGAATCAGGTGTTGGTTGAACTTGAGTTTGTGGTTTTTGTTGAACTTGATTTTGTGCTTTGATTGAACTTTAGTTTATGTTTTTTTTGTACTTGAGTTTGTGTTGTTTTTGAACTTGAGGTTGTGGAAATTGTAAAAACTTGAGAATCAGGTGTTGGTTGAACTTGAGTTTGTGGTTTTTGTTGAACTTGAGTTTGTGTGTTTTTTTAACTTGAGTTTGTTGTTTCTGAACTTGAGGTTTTGGCAATTGTTGAACTTGATAATTGGGTATTGGTTGAACTTGAGTTTGTGTGTTTGTTGAACTTGAGTTTGTGTCGTGTTTGAACTTCAGTTTGTGGTGTTTTTTTGAACTTGAGGTTGTGGTGTTTTTGAACTTGAGTTTTTGGTGTTTTTGAACTTGAGGTTGTGGCAATTGTTGAACTTCAGTTTGTGACGTGTTTGAACTTGATTTTGTGGTGTTTTTGAACTCGACTTTGTTTTGTTTTTGAACTTGAGTTCGTGGTGTTTGTTGAACTTGAGTTTGTGTCGTGTTTGAACTTGAGGTTGTGGTGTTTTTGAACTCGAGTTTTTGTGTTTGTTGAACTTGAGTTTGTGTCGTGTTTGAACTTGAGTTTGTGGTGTTTTTTGAACTTGAGGTTGTGGTGTTTTTGAACTTGAGTTTGTGGCGGTTTTTGAACTTGAGGTTGTTGCAATTGTTGAACTTGAAATAAAAACCCAAATATGAACCCAAATATATATTTTTTCTTTTTACATTTTTTTGGTGTAACCAACTCCAAAAGGTCTTAAACATGTTCCTAAAAAGGTTTTGGACAGTGATTTTAACCCTAACACCAAAAACCTTAAACCTTACCCTAGCCCCAAAACCTAATACCCGGGTATTACCTTCAGGAAGCCCGAACACCCCAAATTTTTTTTTTTCTTTTTTTTTTTTTCTAACTAACTCCCAAAGGTCTGAAACATGTTCCTTAAAAAATATTGGACAGTTATTTTGACCCTAACGCCAAAAACCTTAAACCTAACCCTGGCCCCAAAACCACCCGGGTATTACCTTCAGGAAGCCCGAACACCCCAAATATTTTTTTTTCATTTATCTTTTTTTTTTTGTCTAACTTTATCCCAAAGGTTGGAAAAGAATTCCTACAATGGTTTTGGACAGTGATTTTTACCCTCACGCCCAAAAACCTTAAACCTTACCCTAGCCCCATAACCTAATACCCGGGTATTACCTTCAGGAAGCCCGAACACCCCAAATATATATTTTTATTTTCATTTTTTTTTCGTCTAACTAACTCCAAAAGGTCTGAAACATGTTCCTTAAAAAATATTGGAGAGTGATTTTAACCCTTACGCCAAAAACCTTAAACCTAATCCTAGCCCCATAACCAAATACTTAAACCTGAAGGGTATTACCTTCAGGAAGCCCGAACACCCCAAATATTTTTTTTGTCATTTTACATTTTTTTTTGGTGTAACCAACTCCAAAAGGTCTTAAACATGTTCCTTAAAAGGGTTTGGACAGTGATTTCAACCCTAACGCCAAAAACCTTAAACCTTACCCTAGCCCCAAAACCTAATACCTTCAGGAAGCCCGAAAACCCCAAATATTTTTTTTTTTTTTTTTTTTTTTTTTTGGTCTAACTAACTCCAAAAGGTCTGAAACATGTTCCTTAAAAAATATTGGACAGTGATTTTAACCCTAACGCCAAAAACCTTAAACCTAATCCTAGCCCCATTACCTAATACCCGGGTATTACTTTCAGGAAGTCAGAACACCCCAAATATTTTTTTTTCATTTATCTTTTTTTTTTTTGTCTAACTTAATCCCAAAGGTTGGAAAAGAGTTCCTACAAAGGTTTTGGACAGTGATTTTTACCCTCACGCCCAAAAACCTTAAACCTTACCCTAGCCCCATAACCTAATACCCGGGTATTACCTTCAGGAAGCCCGAAAACCCCAAATATATATATATATATTTTCTTTTTTTTTGTCTAACTAACTCCAAAAGGTCTGAAACATGTTCCTTAAAAAATATTGGACAGTGATTTTAACCCTGACGCCAAAAACCTTAAACCTAATCCTAGCCCCATAACCTAATACTTAAACCTGAAGGGTATTACCTTCAGGAAGCCCGAACACCCCAAATATTTTTTTTGTCATTTTACATTTTTTTTGGTGTAACCAACTCCAAAAGGTCTGAATCTTGTTCCTTAAAAGGTTTTGGACAGTGATTTTAACCCTAACGCCAAAAACCTTAAACCTTACCCTAGCCCCAAAACCTAATACCTTCAGGAAGCCCGAAAACCCCAAATATTTTTTTTCTTTTTTCTTTTTTTTTGGTCTAACTAACTCCAAAAGGTCTGAAACATGTTCCTTAAAAAATATTGGACAGTGATTTTAACCCTCACGCCAAAAACCTTAAACCTAATCCTAGCCCCAAAACCTAATACCCGGGTATTACCTTCAGGAAGCCCGAACACCCCAAATATTAATTTTTCATTTTTTTATTGGTCTAACTAACTCCAAAAGGTTGGAAAAGACTTCCTACAAAGGTTTTGGACAGTGATTTTAACCCTCACGCCAAAAACCTTAAACCTTACCCTAGCCCCATAACCTAGGGTAAAGCCCCTTTACCTAATACCCGGGTATTACCTTCAGGAAGCCCGAACACCCCAAATATTTTTTTTTCATTTATCTTTTTTTTTTTGTCTAACTAACTCCAAAAGGTTGGAAAAGACTTCCTATAAATGACTAACTCCAAAAGGTTGGAAAAGACTTCCTACAAAGGTAATACAAAGTATTACCTTCAGGAAGCCTGAACACCCCAAATTTATATATTTTTTTTTCTTTTTTTTTTTTTGGTCAAACTAGCTCCAAAAAGTCTGAAACATGTTCCTTAAAAATATTGGACAGTGATTTTAACCCTAACGCCAAAAACATTAAACCTAATCCTAGCCCCATAACCTAATACTTAAACCTGAAGGGTATTACCTTCAGGAAGCCCGAACACCCCAAATATTTTTTTTTTCATTTATCTTTTTTTTTTTTGTCTAACTAACTCCAAAAGGTCTGAAAAGAGTTCCTACAAAGGTTTTGGACGGTGATTTTAACCCTTAAACCTTACCCTAGCCCCATAACCTAATACCCGGGTATTACCTTCAGAAGCCCAAAAACCCCAAATATATTTTTTTAATTTTTCGTTAGTTTTTGCTCTAACTAACTCCAACCTTACCTTCAGGAAGCCCGAACACCCCCAAAAATTTTTTTTTCATATTACATTTTTTTTGGTGTAACCAACTCCAAAAGGTCTGAAACATGTTCCTAAAAAGGTTTTGGACAGTGATTTTAACCCTTACGCCAAAAACCTTAAACCTTACCCTAGCCCCATAACCTAATACCCGGGTATTACCTTCAGGAAGCCCGAACACCCCAAATATTTTTTTTTCATTTATCTTTCTTTTTTTTGTCTACCTAACTCCAAAAGGTTGGAAAAGACTTCCTACAAACGTTTTGGACAGTGATTTTAACCCTAACACCAAAAACCTTAAACCTTACCCTAGCCCCAAAACCTAATACCTGGGTATTACCTTCAGGAAGCTTGAACACCCCAAATATTTTTTTTTCATTTTACATTTTTTTTGGTGTTACCAACTCCAAAAGGTCTTAAACATGTTCCTAAAAAGGTTTTGGACAGTGATTTTAAACCTAACGCCAAAAACCTTAAACCTTACCCTAGCCCCATAACCTAATACCTGGGTATTTCCTTCAGGAAGCCCGAAGACCCCAAATATATTTTTTCATTTTTTTTTTTTTTTGGTCTAACTAACTCCAAAAGGTCTGAAAAGAGTTCCTACAAAGGTTTTGGACGGTGATTTTAACCCTTAAACCTTACCCTAGCCCCATAACCTAATACCCGGGTATTACCTTCAGAAGCCCAAAAACCCCAAATATATTTTTTTTATTTTCCGTTAATTTTTGCTCTAACTAACTCCAAAAGGTTGGAAAAGACTTCCTACAAAGGTTTTGGACAGTGATTTTAACCCTAACGCCAAAAACCTTAAACCTTACTATAGCCCCATAACCTAATACCCGGGTATTACCTTCAGGAAGCTTGAACACCCCAAATATTTTTTTTTTCATTTTACATTTTTTTTGGTGTAACCTACTCCAAAAGGTCTGAAACATGTTCCTAAAAAGGTTTTGGACATTGATTTTAACCCTAACGCCAAAAACCTTAAACCTAATCCAAGCCCCATAAACTAATACCTGGGTATTTCCTTCAGGAAGCCCGAAGACCCCAAATATATTTTTTTCTTTTTTCTTTTTTTTTGGTCTAACTAACTCCAAAAGGTTGGAAAAGAGTTCCTACAAAGGTTTTGGACAGTGATTTTAACCCTAACACCAAAAACATTAAACCTTACCCTAGCCCCAAAACCTAATACCCAGGTATTACCTTCTGGAAGCCCGAACACCCCAAATATTTTTTTTTTCATTTTACATTTTTTTTTGGTGTAACCAACTCCAAAAGGTCTTAAACATGTTCCTAAAAAGGTTTTGGACACTGATTTTAACTCTAACGCCAAAAACCTTAAACCTTACCCTAGCCCCATAACCTTATACCTGGGTATTACCTTCAGGAAACCCGAACACCCCAAATATTTTTTTTCTTTTTCTTTTTTTTTTGTCTAACTAACTCCCAAAGGTCTGAAACATGTTCCTTAAAAAATATTGGACAGTTATTTTAACCCTAACGCCAAAAACCTTAAACCTAACCCTAGCCCCAAAACCTAATACCCGGGTATTACCTTCAGGAAGCCCGAACACCCCAAATATATATTTTTTATTTTTCTTTATTTTTGGTCTAACTTGCTCTCAAAGGTTGGAAAAGAGTTCCTACAAAGGTTTTGGACATTGATTTTAACCCTAACGCCAAAAACCTTAAACATTACCCTAGCCCAGAAACCTAGTATTACCTTCAGGAAGCCCGAACACCCCAAAAAAATTTTTTTTCATTTTACATTTTTTTTGGTGTAACCAACTCCAAAAGGTCTGAAACATGTTCCTAAAAAGGTTTTGGACAGTGATTTTAACCCTTACGCCAAAAACCTTAAACCTTACCCTAGCCCCATAACCTAATACCCGGGTATTACCTTCAGGAAGCCCGAACACCCCAAATATTTTTTTTTCATTTATCTTTTTTTTTTTTGTCTAACTAACTCCAAAAGGTTGGAAAAGACTTCCTACAAAGGTTTTTGACAGTGATTTTAAGCCTCACGCCAAAAACCTTAAACCTTAACCTAGCCCCATAACCTAATACCCGGCTATTACCTTCAGGAAGCCCGAACGACCCAAATATATATTTTTTCTTTTTCTTTTTTTTTTTGGTCAAACTAGCTCCAAAAGGTCTGAAACATGTTCCTTAAAAAATATTGGACAGTGATTTTAACCCTTACGCCAAAAACCTTAAACCTAATCCAAGCCCCATAACCTAATACTTAAACCTGAAGGGTATTACCTTCAGGAAGCCCGAACAACCTAAATATTTTTTTTTTCATTTTACATTTTTTTTTGGTGTAACCAACTCCAAAAGGTCTGAATCTTGTTTCTTAAAAGGTTTTGGACAGTGATTTTAACTCTAACACCAAAAACCTTAAACCTTACCCTAGCCCCAAAACCTAATACCTTCAGGAAGCCCGAAAACCCCAAATATTTTTTTTTCTTTTTCCTTTTTTTTTGGTCTAACTAACTCCAAAAGGTCTGAAACATGTTCCTTAAAAAATATTGGACAGTGATTTTAACCCTAACGCCAAAAACCTTAAACCTAATCCTAGCCCCAAAACCTAATACCCGGGTATTACCTTCAGGAAGCCCGAACACCCCAAATTTTTTTTTTTCATTTTTCTTTTTTTTAGTGGTCTAACTAACTCCAAAAGGTTGGAAAAGACTTCCTACAAAGGTTTTGGACAGTGATTTTAACTCCACGCCAAAAACCTTAAACCTTAACCTAGCCCCATGAGGGGAGTCACGCGACGTGATGCGAGAGGAAGCCACGGAGTAGGGAGCTCCGCACTTCATCGCTATCTTTATCCTGTTTAATATCAACACCAGATATATTATCACTCAGACTAAGTACTTTTAGTTGAAGGGGGTGCTAAAAATGTTGAAACTTTCTAAGACTTCAGGCTGTGGAGACATAAAAAGACTACTACGGTCTCAGGGGGCCGACGCCATGATGCAAGATGGAGCTAAAGCGCCCGAGCAGCAGCAAGCTAACGACTTAGCTCAAGATATTAGCAACATCTACTCAATGCTTACAAAGATTTCTGAAGATCTCGGGGGGCTCGCAGAAATACGTCGCACCACAGCGTCGGTGGAAGCTAAACTATCATCCCTTATTACAAGAATGGACGACGTAGAGAAACGAGTGGAGTACTTGGAAGTGACTGAGCAGGGCTGGCAAGCTAACCCGCCAGCTAACAAGGCTGATATCGCACAGATATGGGACAAATTAGAGGACATGGAGAATCGCTCAAGGCGTAACAACGTTCGTTTCGTCGGCTTTCCGGAGGGTAAGGAGGCAGGAGACGTGGTGAGATTTCTGGAGGAGCTGTTGCCGAGTCTGCTAAACATCGAGGGGAGACGGGAGATTGAACGGGCCCACCGGGTCCCGAGCCAGAGACCAGCGCCAGGCGACCGGCCCAGACCAATACTGGCCCGGTTTTTGAGATCGTCGGACCGGGATGCGGTGATGAGAGCAGCGAGGAACAAAGGCAAGCTGACCTGGGGGAATACTACTGTCATGCTTTTCCCCGATTACTCCAGGGCCACCCAGATGAAGCATGAGAAATTCAAAGATTGCAAGAAAAAACTGCACGACCGAGGGGTTGGTTTCAGGATGCTGTTCCCAGCTAAGCTGAGAATTGAGACCGGCAGCGGTGAGAAAGCTTTTGAGTGCCCACGGAAAGCCATGGCCTTCATAGATGCTTTGCAGTGAGTATTGATGGATGGAGGTGTTCATATTGGTATCCTGCGCGCCCAAACGTCTGCTGAGGACACTGGTGTTGCCTTATTTTCCTGTGCAGTAGCGGTGAGTGAGGGATCACGACAAGTGGAGCCACGCGGACCTGACACGGACCGTCAGACCTCGGCTAGAGGGACTTTTGAGGGGGTTAGAATGTGCAAAGTTCAGGTTTAATTGCACTAAATTTGTGTTATTTATTATTATTATTATTTTCTTTTCTTGGGGGAGGGGGCGGGGTACAGTCGCCACCACTGTAAGGATATTGCTTTTGATAAACGGCCATGTGTTATCGATGATTAGGCAGACATGTCTTCACAATTAAATTTAATGCGTCTCTCCACTTGGAATGTTAATGGTTTGGGGAATCCCGTCAAGAGAAAAAGGTGATGGCCATCCTTAAGGCCAAAAAATATGATGTGGTGTTTCTTCAAGAAACTCACATGTCAAAAGAAGAATCTGAGAAGCTCTGTGTAGGATGGGTTGGACATGTTTTTTACAGTGTAGGCTCCAGCAAGAGTAAAGGGGTTATAATTTTAGTAAGTAAACATCTACAATTTAAGTGTCTCAAGCAAATAAGAGATAATACAGGTAGGATGATTATAGTACTGGCTGAAATACAGTTGCAGAAACTAATTTTGGCCAATATATATGCTCCTAATCTGGATGATCAATCTTTTTCTCTGATCTTGAAGGGAAGTTACAAATACTGGGGGCTCAGCCCGTTGTTCATGGAGGAGACTTTAATCTGTTAATGGACCCAGTGCTTGATCACAGTGGGGCAATGTTGCGTAAAATGCCAAAAGCCGCTTTGACACTACAAAGAATTTGCAAATCTTTAGGATTGATAGATATCTGGAGGCTCATGAACCCGTCAGGCAGGGATTATACTTTTTACTCATCAGTACATAAGATTTATAGCCGAATAGATTTTTTCCTAATATCCAAAGAGCTCAGTCCCTGTGCAGTGAGATGTGAAATAGGGTCTATTTTGATCTCTGATCATGCTACTGTCAGTTTGGACTTGTTACCGCAAGATGAGAGAAGAAGGTCTTATAGATGGCGTCTAAACTCGTCACTTTTACAGGACCCAGCAAATACAGAATGGTTGAGGACCGAACTTAAAAGTTATTTAGAGATCAACTGGCAGTCTGTATCATCAGCTGGCGTGGCATGGGAGGCCCTAAAGGCAGTGGTTAGAGGACGTATAATCCAACACACATCATACAATAAGAAAAATAAAACACGGGAGCTGCTAGAATTAGAAAATAAAATAAAACAGGTTGAAACAGAGCTGAAGCAACAATTAACACAAAATGGCATGAAAAAATTGACAAAACTAAAATATCAATACAATAACTTAATAACCCATAAGATTGAATTTAACTTATTCAGGGCAAGACAAACCTATTTCGAGTCAGGAGATAAAGCAGGAAAGCTACTTGCCAGTTATATAAAACAGAGGGAGTTGGCTTCCACTATTCCTGCTATTAGATTGCAGTCTGGAGACCTGCTTACTGCAACGGTAGACATTAATCAGGCTTTTAAGGAATTTTATAGTAATTTATATAGTTCAAACTGTACCTCTGATGAAGAAGAAATTCATAGCTTTATAGAACAGTTAGGACTCCCAAAACTGACGGATGAACAGAGGGATTTTCTTGATTCAGATATTACTATTGAGGAAATTAAAGGGGTAATTAAGGCATTGCCAACAGGCAAGGCACCGGGGCCGGATGGCTTCACGGGGGAATTCTTTAAGTGCTTTGCCTCGGAACTAGCTTCACCTTTACTGGAGGTATATAGGGAGGCGCTGGGGAGAGGGGTGTTGCCACCCACTTTGAGACAGGCCCTCATTAGTCTAATTCCTAAGAAAGGTAAAGATTGGAAGGAATGTAAGAACTATCGTCCGATATCATTAATGCAAATCGATGTTAAGATAATTTCTAAAATTTTAGCAAACCGTTTAGACAGCATAATTACATCATTGATCCATAGTGATCAGGTAGGATTCATTCGTGGTCGTAGCTCCTCCGATAATATAAGACGCCTCATTGATGTCATGTGGTCGCTGGCTGACACCCAGTCCCCAGTTGCTGCAATCTCGTTGGACGCCGAAAAAGCGTTCGACATGGTAGAATGGGGGTTTCTATTTAAAATCTTAGAAGAATTTGGATTTGGTATTACATTTATAAAATGGATTCGTATGTTATATAAACATCCAGAAGCAGCAGTTCAGACTAATGGGCTCATATCAGACTACTTTATGTTGGGCAGAGGAACTAGACAGGGGTCACCCCTCTCTCCTTTGCTTTTTTGTTTAGCTATTGAGCCACTAGCAGCAGCCATACGTAAAGCAAATGATTTCCCAGGGGTCACCATAGGCGGGAAGGTCCACAAGTTGATGTTATATGAGGACGATATTTTATTACTGGTTTCCGAACCCAGAAGATCTGTGCCATGCTTGCTTGGAATCATAAATACCTTCTGAAAACTGTCCGGCTATATTTTTTATTTTTATTATTTTTTTGGTCTAACTTGCTCTCAAAGGTTGGAAAAGAGTTCCTACAAAGGTTTTGGACATTGATTTTAACCCTAACGCCAAAAACCTTAAACATTACCCTAGCCCAGAAACCTAATATTACCTTCAGGAAGCCCGAACACCCCAAATATATATTTTTTTTCTTTTTCTTTTTTTTTGGTGTAACTAACTCCAAAAGGTCTGAAACATGTTCCTAAAAAGGTTTTGGACAGTGATTTTAACCCTCACGCCAAAAACCTTAAACCTTAACCTAGCCCCATAACCTAATACCCGGGTATTACCTTCAGGAAGCCCGAACACCCCAAATATTTTTTTTTTCTTTTTTCTTTTTTTTTGGTCTAACTAACTCCAAAAGGTCGGAAAAGATTTCCTACAAAGGTTTTGGACGGTGATTTTAACCCTAACACCAAAAACCTTAAACCTTACCCTAGCCCCAAAACCTAATACCTGGGTATTACCTTCAGGAAGCTTGAACACCCCAAATATTTTTTTTTTCATTTTACATTTTTTTTTGGTGTTACCAACTCCAAAAGGTCTGAAACATGTTCCTAAAAAGGTTTTGGACAGTGATTTTAACCCTGACGCCAAAAACCTTAAACCTTACCCTAGCCCCATAACCTCATACCCGGGTATTTCCTTCAGGAAGCCCGAAGACCCCAAATATATTTAGGGCCCGAGCGTAGCTGCTAAGCAGCTGCGAGAGCCCTATTATTCCCCAAGTGGTTTTTCTTTGTTTCTTTCTTTCTTTCTTTCTTTCTTTCTTTCTTTCTTCTTTTTCCTCCCCTTTGAACTGGAAAATGGCCCACTTCCCACTGGCGAAAACTCATGAAATTTGGCAGGACGACCGGGCCTGGTGAAAAATTCGATATTCTGAAGTCGCCCAAACAATAAAATGCAAAATGGCTCCATAGCGCCCCCTAAGGTGGAAATTCACACTATTGACTGTCACGCCTGTACGCTTTGTCATATTGACACAAAAATTGACACACATATGTATCTCAATAAGATCTACAAAAAAGTCAGTGCGGCCGTATCTGTCAAAATTACGGTTAAAGGGTTATTTCGCATTTTTTGCCGATCCGCACACATTGGAATTTCGCTAACTCCTCCGAAGGCTTTCGTTCCACCGGCACCACATTTGCTCAGGCCAATCTACACCCCGTGGCCATTAAAAGTTATCAAAATCATGACGCTGCACCCCAAGGTTTAGGTTCTAGGGGGCGCCAAAGATAACACTAAAATCCACATATTTAAAAGTCTTATAACTTTTTATTTTTGTCCTCACTGGCCTCCAAGTTTTCTAGGATGATGCAATGTCCAGCCATCAACACATTTGTGAAGGAATTTTTACTCCCCAAAAGAGCGCCCCCCCATGGCAGGAGAAAAAAGTCCATTTTTTCTTGTCCCCTAAGGTGAAAATACACATTGTTGAGTGTCACACCTGTACGCTTTGTCAAAATGACACAAAATTTGACACACACGTGTATCTCAATTAGATCTACAAAAAAGTCAGTGCGGGCGTATCTGTCAAATGTACGGTTAAAGGGCTATTTTGCATTTTTTGCCGATCCGCACACAGTAGAATTTCGCTAACTCCTCCGAAGGCTTTCGTTCCACCGGCACCACATTTGCTCAGGCCAATCTACACCCCATGGCCATTAAAAGTTGTTCAAATCATGACGCTGCACCCCATTGTTTAGGTTCTAGGGGGCGCCAAAGATAACCCAAAAATCCACATTCTTAAAAGTCTAATAACTTTTTATTTTTGCCCTCACTGGCCTCCAAGTTTTCTAGGATGATGCAATGTCCAGCCATCAACACATTTGTGAAGGAATTTTTACTCCCCAAAAGAGCGCCCCCCATGGCAGGAGAAAGAAGTCCATTTTTTCTTGTCCCCTAAGGTGAAAATACATATTGTTGAGTGTCACGCCTATACGCTTTGTCATATTGACACAAAATTTGACACACACGTGTATCTCAATAAGATCTACAAAAATTCTATGCGCACGTATCTGTCAAATGTACGGTTAAAGGGCTATTTCGCATTTTTTGCCGATCCGCACACATTGGAATTTCGCTAACTCCTCCGAAGGCTTTCGTTCCACCGGCACCACATTTGCTCAGGCCAATCTACACCCCATGGCCATTAAAAGTTGTACAAATCATGACGCTGCACCACACGGTTTACATTCTAGGGGGCGCCAAAGATAACCCAAAAATCCACATTCTTAAAAGTCTTATAACTTTTCATTTTTGTCCTCACTGGCTTCCAAGTTTTCTAGGATGATGCATTGTCTAGCCATCAACACATTTGTGAAGGAATTTTTACTCCCCAAAAGAGCGCCCCCCCATGGCAGGAGAAAAAGTCAAGTTTTTCCTGCCCATCGCTCAATGGCTCAAACACATGTCATGTGTTCAAACTCCTCCGAAAGGAGGAGCAACTTGCCATTTGGATATATCCTAGCTGTGTTTGTGCCCTCACTCATGATCCAGACTTTTTTCAAATAGGACATGTAGTTTGTCTGCAGCGAGCGTTTTGGCAGAAACTGCGCCTCCCATTCATTATAATGGTAAATGACCACAGACAAGTGCGAACACCATCTTTGGACCTTGAGTGTGATGCGATCGGGAGGGAGAGGCGGTCGTGTTGGGGGCGGCGCGACACAGCTCGGGCCCGCCAGTGCCCCAACGGGGCCCTAGTTTTTTCTTTTTCTTTTTTTTTGGTCTAACTAACTCCAAAAGGTCGGAAAAGAGTTCCTACAAAGGTTTTGGACGGTGATTTTAACCCTAACACCAAAAACCTTAAACCTTACCCTAGCCCCAAAACCTAATACCCGGGTATTACCTTCAGGAAGCCCGAACACCCCAAATATTTTTTTTCATTTTACATTTTTTTTGGTGTAACCAACTCCAAAAGGTCTTAAACATGTTCCTAAAAAGGTTTTGGACACTGATTTTAACTCTAACGCCAAAAACCTTAAACCTTACCCTAGCCCCTTAACCTAATACCCGGGTATTACCTTCAGGAAGCCCGAACACCCCAAATTTTTTTTTCTTTTTCTTTTTTTTTTTTGTCTAACTAACTCCCAAAGGTCTGAAACATGTTCCTTAAAAAATATTGGACAGTGATTTTAACCCTAACGCCAAAAACCTTAAACCTAACCCTAGCCCCAAAACCTAATACCCGGGTATTACCTTCAGGAAGCCCGAAAACCCCAATTTTTTTTTTTCATTTTCTGTTTTTTTTTTGGTCTAACTAACTCCAAAACGTTGGAAAATAGTTCCTACAAAGGTTTTGGACAGTGATTTTAACCCTAACGCCAAAAACCTTAAACCTTACTATAGCCCCATAACCTAATACCTGGGTATTTCCTTCAGGAAGCCCGAAGACCCCAAATATTTTTTTTTTCATTTTACATTTTTTTTGGTGTAACCAACTCCAAAAGGTTTGAAACATGTTCCTAAAAAGGTTTTGGACAGTGATTTTAACCCTAACGCCAAAAACCTTAAACCTTACCCTAGCCCCATAACCTAATACCTGGGTATTTCCTTCAGGAAGCCCGAAGACCCCAAATATATTTTTTTTTCTTTTGTTTTTTTTGGTCTAACTAACTCCAAAAGGTTGGAGAGAGTTCCTACAAAGGTTTTGGACAGTGATTTTAACCCTAACACCAAAAACCTTAAACCTTACCCTAGCCCCAAAACCTAATACCCAGGTATTACCTTCAGGAAGCCCGAACACCCCAAATATTTTTTTTTTTTAATTTTACTTTTTTTTTTGGTGTAACCAACTCCCAAAGGTCTTAAACATGTTCCTTAAAAAATATTGGACAGTTATTTTGACCCTAACGCCAAAAACCTTAAACCTAACCCTAGCCCCAAAACCTAATACCTGGGTATTACCTTCAGGAAGCCCGAACACCCCAAATATTTTTTTTTCATTTATCTTTTTTTTTTTTGTCTAACTTAATCCCAAAGGTTGGAAAAGAGTTCCTACAAAGGTTTTGGACAGTGATTTTTACCCTCACGCCCAAAAACCTTAAACCTTACCCTAGCCCCATAACCTAATACCTGGGTATTACCTTCAGGAAGCCCGAACACCCCAAATATATATTTTTATTTTTAGGGCCCGAGCGTAGCTGCTAAGCAGCTGCGAGAGCCCTATTATTCCCCAAGTGGTTTTTCTTGTTTCTTTAGGGCCCGAGCGTAGCTGCTAAGCAGCTGCGAGAGCCCTCTTGTTCCTGCATGTTTCCTTCTTTTGTTATTATTATTTTTCCTCCCCTTTGAACTGGAAAATGGCCCACTTCCCACTGGCGAAAACTCATGAAATTTGGCAGGACGACCGGGCCTGGTGAAAAATTTGATATTCCGAAGTCGCCCAAACAAGAAAATGCAAAATGGCTCCATAGCGCCCCCTAAGGTGAAAAATTCACCTGACGCCTGTACGCTTTGTCAAAATGACACAAAAATTGACACACACATGTATCTCAATAAGATCTACAAAAAAGTCAGTGCGGGCGTATCTGTCAAATGTACGGTTAAAGGGTTATTGCGCATTTTTTGCCGATCCGCACACATTGGAATTTCGCTAACTCCTCCGAAGGCTTTCGTTCCACCGGCACCACATTTGCTCAGGCCAATCTACACTCCATGGCCATTAAAAGTTATTCAAATCATGACGCTGCACCCCACGGTTTAGGTTCTAGGGGGCGCCAAAGATAACACTAAAATCCACATATTTCAAAGTCTTATAACTTTTTATTTTTGTCCTCACTGGCCTCCAAGTTTTCTAGGATGATGCAATGTCCAGCCATCAACACATTTGTGAAGGAATTTTTACTCCCCAAAAGAGCGCCCCCCATGGCAGGAGAAAAAAGTCCATTTTTTCTTGTCCCCTAAGGTGAAAATACACATTGTTGACTGTCACGCCTGTACGCTTTGGCAAAATGACACAAAAATTGACAATCATGTGTATCTCAATTAGATCTACGAAAAAGTCAAGAGCGCGTATGTGTATAATGTACGGTAAAAGGGCTATTTTGCATTTTTTGCCGATTCGCACATATTGGAATTTCGCTAACTCCTCCTAAGGCTTTCGTCCCACTGACACCAAATTTGCTCAGGCCAATCTACACTCCATGGCCATTCAAAGTTGTAAAAATCATGACGCGGCACCCCACGGTTTACGTTTTAGGGGGCGCCAAAGATGACCCAAATATACATTACAGTAGACAAAGTAGTTTTGCCCACTGAGTGGCGCCAAAGGGACTTGTCTGTGGAGTCTGTGAGTCACTATTGGCCGTTTTTGACTACTTTAGATTTTACCTTTATATTTCCTCTTACAAAATTTTTACCTTGCCTTGCCTGGTATCATTTTTTTCAGCACAACCTCACCTGTGTCAATTTACAGTTATTTTATCATTTTGACATACTATATTTACACATTGGACCCAAATTCACACACAAAACATAAAATCCGAGTGGAAAAAAGTAACGTTTTTACTGTGAAAACCACAAATATGTGTGATGAACTGTTTTTAAAACTTAAACTTCAAATAAAAATTGTAAACTTCAAAACATATGCAAATTTTTAACAAAGAACATAGTAATTTACCTCTATTTACATCAAAATGCAGGCAATGGCCCAGGTGTTCTTTGTAAAATTATTTACAAAACACTGTATAGTCTCACAAATGTCACTTTTTATTTATGCCACTACAAAAAAACATGATGTAAATGATGCATGATGTAAAACATGATGTAAAAAACTTGTGTAGATCCTCCTCTATGTCAGTCCATGTGTAATTTTTCCATAATTCTTTGTTTTTTGCAGCATTTTTGTTAGTGTAACTGCAGATTGTGCTGACAGTGTCTATGGCAAAAAAAAAAAAAAACTGAAAATGCCTCAACATGAACCCCTGGTGGTCTCTGAGGGTGAAACCTGCTAACTGCTGCAGCTCTGTCAGCTTCAGTCTCCCATGCAGAGCTCGGAGCGCATGTGTGGCTCTGCACCCTTAGCAGCGTTGCTAACTCCTCAGTAAGGAAAGCCTGCTTCATGTCAGAGTCTCTAAACTCCAGAAGAAGTCGATAAAAGTCACTTTCTTTCTAAAAAACGTCGTTAGGGGGTCTGAAAAGTCATTGAATCTAACAACAAAGTCGCTAGGTTTGCAACTACGTGTCCCAGACTGCATCCCTGCTGAGAGTCCCTCCCTCCCTTCTCATATTGCAGGAAGAACGTAAGCGCCCGCCCCTTGTCAATCAGTCACCATATAATTTTGGATTGGTTGTTGTGGTGAAGTTTTCCACCAATAGGAGAGATGTTGTGGTGTGTTTTTTTTTCCTTTGGCAAGCCTTTTCCGCCTGTAAGACCTGTCGCTAATGTCTGCATGCTATGTTTTCCTGTCTCATACAGCGCGATCGAGCGCCGAACGTGATCAAAATAAGCAGAAAACAAGTATCGCGGACATAATTTATCATAACTCTGGTTTTATTTGGCCTATCAACACAATTTAAAAACTGGTATATAGGTTGAGGTCCTCACTTTTGAGATAAGTTGAAACGGAGAGTCAACGAGGCTCCGTCTTGCAGCTACATCCGGTTAAATATGTCATGTGACTTGAACGCACACACACACACACACACACACACACAGACACACACACACACGCACACACACACACTCAGAGTCTGGTTTTTAGCACCTGCAAAAACATGCTATTTACATATTTGACAAGAATGCAGAGGCTCCTTTTGCCCCTGAAAAAAATCAAATTTCAAACACAACTTGACTGGTCATTTCTCCAAAAGACAACCATGAAGCTCCATCCAAACCTGAAGCAGGCAGTTGATGCATGTGTACAGTAACCTGAGGGGAGTGAGGTGACTGCTTCTGAGGAGAACATGAGCAGTGAAGATTCACCTTAGAGCTAGAACAGAGACGTGCACATGATTATACAGGGGCAGGGGCTCAAGTTTTTACCAGTTGTTTATACAATATGGAAATTAATGTGAAATTAAAAAACAAAGTATTAATAGAAAGGTAATGACTGTCCTGTGTAGGTGACAGTGATATCCAATAGGCTAGGCACTCACGAGGCTGGCTGTGGCAAGTGTAATTGAAAGCAACACGCACTGGCAGGAAGAACAGCAAACGCCGATGAAGGAAAAGGGTCTTTGCAGTGATGGGCGTTACCAGAGAGGGCGATGGCCAGAGGACACAAATGGGACGGGGAGGCAGCGCGTTGGGGGGGGGACGCGACACAGCTCGGGCCCGCCAGTGCCCCAACGGGGTCCTAGTTCTTTCTTTCTTTCTTCTTTTTCCTCCCCTTTGAACTGGAAAATGGCCCACTTCCCACTGGCGAAAACTCATGAAATTTGGCAGGATGACCGGGCCTGGTGAAAAATTTGATATTCCGAAGTCGCCCAAACAAGAAAATGCAAAATGACTCCATAGCGCCCCCTAAGGTGAAAATTCACACTATTGACTGTCACGCCTTTACGCTTTGTCAAAATGACACAAAAATTGACACACATATGTATCTCAATAAGATCTACAAAAAAGTCAGTGCGGGCATATCTGTCAAATGTACGGTTAAAGGGTTATTCCGCATTTTTTGCCGATCCGCACACATTGGAATTTCGCTAACTCCTCCGAAGGCTTTCTTTCCACCGGCACCACATTTGCTCAGGCCAATCTACACCCCATGGCCATTAAAAGTTATTCAAATCATGACGCTGCACCCCACGGTTTAGGTTCTAGGGGGCGCCAAAGATAACCCTAAAATCCACATATTTCAAAGTCTTATAACTTTTTATTTTTGCCCTCACTGGCCTCCAAGTTTTCTAGGATGATGCAATGTCCAGCCATCAACACATTTGTGAAGGAATTTTTACTCCCCAAAAGAGCGCCCCCCATGGCAGGAGAAAAAAGTCAATTTTTTCTTGTCCCGTAAGGTGAAAATTCACATTGTTGAGTGTGACACCTGTACGCTTTGTCATATTGACACAAAATTTGACAATCACGTGTATCTCAATAAGATCTACGAAAAAGTCAATGGGTGCGTATCTGTCAAATGTACGGTTAGAGGGCTATTTTGCATTTTTTGCCGATTCGCACACATTGGAATGTGGCTAACTCCTCCTAAGGCTTTCGTCCCACTGAAACCAAATTTGCTCAGGCCAATCTACACCCCATGGCCATTCAAAGTTGTAAAAATCATGACGCTGCACCCCACGGTTTACGTTCTAGGGGGCGCCAAAGATGACCAAAAAATCCACATTCTTAAAAGAATCCACATTCTCCCCCCCCCCCATGGCAGGAGAAAAAGTCAAGTTTTTCCTGCCCATCGCTCAATGGCTCAATCGCATCGCTCTCCAGGCAACACCGTAACGAGGAGCAACCTGCCATTTGGATATATCCCAGCTGTGTTTGTGCCCTCACTCATGGTCCAGACTTTTTTCAAATAGGACATGAAGTTTGTCTGCAGCGAGTGTTTTGGTAGAAACTGCGCCTCCCATTCATTATAATGGGAAATGACCACAGACAAGTGCGCACACCATCTTTGGACCTTGAGTGTGACGCGATCGGGAGGGGGAGGCGGTCACGCTGGGGGCGGCACGACGCGGCTCGGGCCCGACAGTGCCCCACCGGGGCCCTAGTTCTTTTTGTTCTGGTCTAACTTGCTCTCAAAGGTTGGAAAAGAGTTCCTACAAAGGTTTTGGACATTGATTTTAACCCTAACGCCAAAAACCTTAAACATTACCCTAGCCCAGAAACCTAGTATTACCTTCAGGAAGCCCGAACACCCAAAAAAAATTTTTTTTCATTTTACATTTTTTTTGGTGTAACCAACTCCAAAAGGTCTGAAACATGTTCCTAAAAAGGTTTTGGACAGTGATTTTAACCCTTACGCCAAAAACCTTAAACCTTACCCTAGCCCCATAACCTAATACCTGGGTATTACCTTCAGGAAGCCCGAACACCCCAAATATTTTTTTTTCATTTATCTTTTTTTTTTGTCTAACTAACTCCAAAAGGTTGGAAAAGACTTCCTACAAAGGTTTTGGACAGTGATTTTAACCCTCACGCCAAAAACCTTAAACCTTAACCTAGCCCCATAACCTAATACCCGGGTATTACCTTCAGGAAGCCCGAACACCCCAAATATATATTTTTTCTTTTTCTTTTTTTTTTTTGGTCAAACTAGCTCCAAAAGGTCTGAAACATGTTCCTTAAAAAATATTGGACAGTGATTTTAACCCTTACGCCAAAAACCTTAAACCTAATCCTAGCCCCATAACCTAATACACTTAAACCTGAAGGGTATTACCTTAAGGAAGCCTGAACACCCCAAATATTTTTTTTTTCATTTTACATTTTTTTTGGTGTAACCAACTCCAAAAGGTCTGAATCTTGTTCCTTAAAAGGTTTTGGACAGTGATTTTAACCCTAACGCCAAAAACCTTAAACCTTACCCTAGCCCCAAAACCTAATACCCGGGTATTACCTTCAGGAAGCTTGAACACCCCAAATATTTTTTTTTCATTTTACATTTTTTTTTGGTGTTACCAACTCCAAAAGGTCTGAAACATGTTCCTAAAAAGGTTTTGGACAGTGATTTTAACCCTTACGCCAAAAACCTTAAACCTAACCCTAGCCCCATAACCTCATTACCTTCAGGAAGCCCGAAGACCCCAAATATATTTTTTTCTTTTTTCTTTTTTTTTGGTCTAACTAACTCCAAAAGGTCGGAAAAGAGTTCCTACAAAGGTTTTGGACAGTGATTCTAACCCTAACACCAAAAACCTTAAACCTTACCCTAGCCCCAAAACCTAATACCCGGGTATTACCTTCAGGAAGCCCGAACACCCCAAATATTTTTGTTTTCTTTTTCTTTTTTTTTTTGTCTAACTAACTCCCAAAGGTCTGAAACATGTTCCTTAAAAAATATTGGACAGTTATTTTAACCCTAACGCCAAAAACCTTAAACCTAACCCTAGCCCCAAAACCTAATACCCGGGTATTACCTTCACGAAGCCCGAACACCCCAAATATATATTTTTTCTTTTTCATTTTTTTTGGTCAAACTAGCTCCAAAAGGTCTGAAACATGTTCCTTAAAAAATATTGGATAGTTATTTTAACCCTAACGCATTTACCTTTTTTTTTTTGTCTAACTAATTCCCAAAGGTTGGAAAAGAGTTCCTACAAAGGTTTTGGACCGTGATTTTTATCCTCAAGCTGAAAAACCTTAAACCTTACCCTAGCCCCATAACCTAATACCCGGGTATTACCTTCAGGAAGCCCGAACACCCCTTATATATTTTTTATTTTTCTTTTTGTTTTGGTCTAACTTGCTCTCAAAGGTTGGAAAAGAGTTCCTACAAAGGTTTTGGACATTGATTTTAACCCTAACGCCAAAAACCTTAAACATTACCCTAGCCCATTAACCTAGTATTACCTTCAGGAAGCCCGAACACCCAAAAAAAATTTTCTTTTCATTTTACATTTTTTTTGGTGTAACCAACTCCAAAAGGTCTGAAACATGTTCCTAAAAAGGTTTTGGACAGTGATTTTAACCCTAACGCCAAAAACCTTAAACCTTACCCTAGCCCCATAACCTAATACCCGGGTATTACCTTCAGGAAGCCCGAACACCCCAAATATTTTTTTTTTTTTTTTTTTTTTTTTGTCTAACGAACTCCAAAAGGTCTTAAACATGTTCCTAAAAAGGTTTTGGACAGTGATTTTAACCCTAACGCCAAAAACCTTAAACCTTACCCTAGCCCCATAACCTAATACCCGGGTATTACCTTCAGGAAGCCCGAACACCCCAAATATATATTTTTTCTTTTTCTTTTTTTTTGGTCAAACTAGCTCCAAAAGGTCTGAAACATGTTCCTTAAAAAATATTGGATAGTTATTTTAACCCTTACGCCAAAAACCTTAAACGTAATCCTAGCCCCCTAACCTAATACTTAAACCTGAAGGGTATTACCTTCAGGAATCCCGAACACCCCAAATATTTTTTTTTTCATTTTACATTTTTTTTGGTGTAACCAACTCCAAAAGGTCTGAATCTTGTTCCTTTAAAAGGTTTTGGACAGTGATTTTAACCCTAACGCCAAAAACCTTAAACCTTACCCTAGCCCCATAACCTAATACCCGGGTATTACCTTCAGGAAGCCCGAACACCCCAAATATTTTTTTTTTCATTTTACATTTTTTTTTTGGTGTAACCAACTCCAAAAGGTCTGAAACATGTTCCTAAAAAGGTTTTGGACAGTGATTTTAACCCTAACGCCAAAAACCTTAAACCTTACCCTAGCCCCATAACCTAATACCCGGGTATTACCTTCAGGAAGCCCGAACACCCCAAATATTTTTTTTTCATTTATCTTTTTTTTTGTCTAATTAACTCCAAAAGGTCTGAAACATGTTCCTTAAAAAATATTGGACAGTGATTTTAACCCTTACGCCAAAAACCTTAAACCTTAACCTAGCCCCATAACCTAATACCCGGGTATTACCTTCAGGAAGCCCGAACACCCCAAATATATATTTTTTCTTTTTCTTTTTTTTTTTTGGTCAAACTAGCTCCAAAAGGTCTGAAACATGTTCCTACAAAGGTTTTGGACAGTGATTTTAACCCTAACGCCAAAAACCTTAAACCTTACCCTAGCCCCATAACCTAATACTTAAACCTGAAGGGTATTACCTTCAGGAAGCCCGAACACCCCAAATATTTTTTTTTTCATTTTACATTTTTTTTGGTGTAACCAACTCCAAAAGGTCTGAATCTTGTTCCTTTAAAAGGTTTTGGACAGTGATTTTGACCCTAACGCCAAAAACCTTAAACCTTACCCTAGCCCAAAAACCTAATACCCAGGTATTACCTTCAGGAAGCTTGAACACCCCAAATATTTTTTTTTTCATTTTACATTTTTTTTGGTGTAACCAACTCCAAAAGGTCTGAAACATGTTCCTAAAAAGGTTTTGGACAGTGATTTTAACCCTAACGCCAAAAACCTTAAACCTTACCCTAGCCCCATAACCTAATACCCGGGTATTACCTTCAGGAAGCCCGAACACCCCAAATATTTTTTTTTCATTTATCTTTTTTTTTTGTCTAATTAACTCCAAAAGGTCTGAAACATGTTCCTTAAAAAATATTGGACAGTGATTTTAACCCTAACGCCAAAAACCTTAAACCTTACCCTAGCCCCATAACCTAATACCCGGGTATTACCTTCAGGAAGCCCGAACACCCCAAATATTTTTTTTTTCATTTTACATTTTTTTTGGTGTAACCAACTCCAAAAGGTCTGAATCTTGTTCCTTAAAAGGTTTTGGACAGTGATTTTAACCCTAACGCCAAAAACCTTAAACCTTACCCTAGCCCCAAAACCTAATACCTTCAGGAAGCCCGAACACCCCAAATATTTTTTTTCATTTTTCTTTTTTTTTTGGTCTAACTAACTCCAAAAGGTTGGAAAAGAGTTCCTACAAAGGTTTTGGACAGTGATTTTAACCCTAACGCCAAAAACCTTAAACCTTACCCTAGCCCCATAACCTAATACCCGGGTATTACCTTCAGGAAGCCCGAACACCCCAAATATTTTTTTTTCATTTTTCATTTTTTTTTTGGTCTAACTAACTCCAAAAGGTTGGAAAAGACTTCCTACAAAGGTTTTGGACAGTGATTTTAACCCTAACGCCAAAAACCTTAAACCTTACCCTAGCCCCAAAACCTAATACCCGGGTATTACCTTCAGGAAGCCCGAACACCCCAAATATTTTTTTTTAATTTTTCGTTTTTTTTTTTGTCTAACTAACACCAAAAGGTTTGAAAAGAGGTCCTACAAAGGTTTTGGACAGTGATTTTAACACTAACGCCAAAAACCTTAAACCTTACCCTAGCCCCATAACCTCATACCCGGGTATTACCTTCAGGAAGCCCGAACACCCCAAATAAAAATTTTTTCTTTTTTTTTTTTTTTTTTGGTCAAACTAGCTCCAAAAGGTCTGAAACATGTTCCTTAAAAAGGTTTTGGACAGTGATTTTAACCCTAACGCCAAAAACCTTAAACCTTACCCTAGCCCCATAACCTAATACCCGGGTATTACCTTCAGGAAGCCCGAACACCCCAAATATTTTTTTTTTCATTTTACATTTTTTTTGGTGTAACCAACTCCAAAAGGTCTGAATCTTGTTCCTTAAAAGGTTTTGGACAGTGATTTTAACCCTAACGCCAAAAACCTTAAACCTTACCCTAGCCCCAAAACCTAATACCCGGGTATTACCTTCAGGAAGCCCGAACACCCCAAATATTTTTTTTTTCATTTTACATTTTTTTTTGGTGTTACCAACTCCAAAAGGTCTGAAACATGTTCCTACAAAGGTTTTGGACAGTGATTTTAACCCTAACGCCAAAAACCTTAAACCTTACCCTAGCCCCATAACCTAATACCCGGGTATTACCTTCAGGAAGCCCGAACACCCCAAATATATTTTTTTTTCATTTTACATTTTTTTTGGTGTAACCAACTCCAAAAGGTCTTAAACATGTTCCTAAAAAGGTTTTGGACAGTGATTTTAACCCTAACGCCAAAAACCTTAAACCTTACCCTAGCCCCATAACCTAATACCCGGGTATTACCTTCAGGAAGCCCGAACACCCCAAATATTTTTTTTTCATTTTTCTTTTTTTTTTTTGGTCTAACTAACTCCAAAAGGTTGGAAAAGAGTTCCTACAAAGGTTTTGGACAGTGATTTTAACCCTAACGCCAAAAACCTTAAACCTTACCCTAGCCCCATAACCTAATACCCGGGTATTACCTTCAGGAAGCCCGAACACCCCAAATATATTTTTTTTCATTTTACATTTTTTTTTGGTGTAACCAACTCCAAAAGGTCTGAAACATGTTCCTAAAAAGGTTTTGGACAGTGATTTTAACCCTTACGCCAAAAACCTTAAACCTTACCCTAGCCCCATAACCTAATACCCGGGTATTACCTTCAGGAAGCCCGAACACCCCAAATATTTTTTTTTCATTTTTTTTTTTTTTTTTTGTCTAACTAACTCCAAAAGGTCTGAAACATGTTCCTTAAAAAATATTGGACAGTGATTTTAACCCTAACGCCAAAAACCTTAAACCTTACCCTAGCCCCATAACCTAATACCCGGGTATTACCTTCAGGAAGCCCGAACACCCCAAATATATATTTTTATTTTTATTTTTGTTTTGGTCTAACTTGCTCTCAAAGGTTGGAAAAGAGTTCCTACAAAGGTTTTGGACACTGATTTTAACCCTAACGCCAAAAACCTTAAACATTACCCTAGCCCAGAAACCTAGTATTACCTTCAGGAAGCCCGAACACCCCAAATATATTTTTTTTCATTTTACATTTTTTTTGGTGTAACCAACTCCAAAAGGTCTGAATCTTGTTCCTTAAAAGGTTTTGGACAGTGATTTTAACCCTAACGCCAAAAACCTTAAACCTTACACTAGCCCCAAAACCTAATACCTTCAGGAAGCCCGAAAACCCAAAATATTTTTTTTTTTTTTTTCTTTTTTTTTTGGTCGAACTAACTCCAAAAGGTCTGAAACATGTTCCTTAAAAAATATTGGACAGTGATTTTAACCCTAACGCCAAAAACCTTAAACCTTACCCTAGCCCCAAAACCTAATACCCGGGTATTACCTTCAGGAAGCCCGAACACCCCAAATATATATTTTTTTCTTTTTTTTTTTTTTTTTGGTCTAACTAGCTCCAAAAGGTCTGAAACATGTTCCTTAAAAATATTGGACAGTGATTTTAACCCTAACGCCAAAAACCTTAAACCTTACCCTAGCCCCATAACCTAATACCCGGGTATTACCTTCAGGAAGCCCGAACACCCCAAATATTTTTTTTTTCATTTTACATTTTTTTTGGTGTAACCAACTCCAAAAGGTCTGAATCTTGTTCCTTAAAAGGTTTTGGACAGTGATTTTAACCCTAACGCCAAAAACCTTAAACCTTACCCTAGCCCCATAACCTAATACCCGGGTATTACCTTCAGGAAGCCCGAACACCCCAAATATTTTTTTTTCATTTTACATTTTTTTTTGGTGTAACCAACTCCAAAAGGTCTGAAACATGTTCCTAAAAAGGTTTTGGACAGTGATTTTAACCCTAACGCCAAAAACCTTTAACCTTACTATAGCCCCATAACCTAATACCTGGGTATTTCCTTCAGGAAGCCCGAAGACCTCAAATATTTTTTTTTTCATTTTACATTTTTTTTGGTGTAACCAACTCCAAAAGGTCTTAAACATGTTCCTAAAAAGGTTTTGGACAGTGATTTTAACCCTTACGCCAAAAACCTTAAACCTTACCCTAGCCCCATAACCTAATACCCGGGTATTACCTTCAGGAAGCCCGAACACCCCAAATATTTTTTTTTTTTTTTTTTTTTTTTTTTTGTCTAACTAACTCCAAAAGGTCTGAAACATGTTCCTAAAAAGGTTTTGGACAGTGATTTTAACCCTAACGCCAAAAACCTTAAACCTTACCCTAGCCCCATAACCTAATACCCGGGTATTACCTTCAGGAAGCCCGAACACCCCAAATATATATTTTTTTTTTTTTTTTTTTTGGTCTAACTTGCTCTCAAAGGTTGGAAAAGAGTTCCTACAAAGGTTTTGGACAGTGATTTTAACCCTTACGCCAAAAACCTTAAACCTTACCCTAGCCCCATAACCTAATACCCGGGTATTACCTTCAGGAAGCCCGAACACCCCAAATATTTTTTTTTTCATTTTACATTTTTTTTGGTGTAACCAACTCCAAAAGGTCTGAAACATGTTCCTAAAAAGGTTTTGGACAGTGATTTTAACCCTAACGCCAAAAACCTTAAACCTTACCCTAGCCCCATAACCTAATACCCGGGTATTACCTTCAGGAAGCCCGAACACCCCAAATATATTTTTTTCTTTTTTCTTTTTTTTTGGTCTAACTAACTCCAAAAGGTTGGAAAAGAGTTCCTACAAAGGTTTTGGACAGTGATTTTAACCCTAACGCCAAAAACCTTAAACCTTACCCTAGCCCCATAACCTAATACCCGGGTATTACCTTCAGGAAGCCCGAACACCCCAAATATATTTTTTTTCATTTTACATTTTTTTTTGGTGTAACCAACTCCAAAAGGTCTTAAACATGTTCCTAAAAACGTTTTGGACAGTGATTTTAACTCTAACGCCAAAAACCTTAAACCTTACCCTAGCCCCATAACCTAATACCCGGGTATTACCTTCAGGAAGCCCGAACACCCCAAATATTTTTTTTTTCTTTTTCTTTTTTTTTTTTTGTCTAACTAACTCCCAAAGGTCTGAAACATGTTCCTTAAAAAATATTGGACAGTGATTTTAACCCTAACGCCAAAAACCTTAAACCTTACCCTAGCCCCAAAACCTAATACCCGGGTATTACCTTCAGGAAGCCCGAACACCCCAAATATATATTTTTTATTTTTATTTTTGTTTTGGTCTAACTAACTCCAAAAGGTTGGAAAAGAGTTCCTACAAAGGTTTTGGACAGTGATTTTAACCCTAACGCCAAAAACCTTAAACCTTACCCTAGCCCCATAACCTAATACCCGGGTATTACCTTCAGGAAGCCCGAACACCCAAAAAAATTTTTTTTTCATTTTACATTTTTTTTGGTGTAACCAACTCCAAAAGGTCTGAATCTTGTTCCTTAAAGGTTTTGGACAGTGATTTTAACCCTAACGCCAAAAACCTTAAACCTTACACTAGCCCCATAACCTAATACCTTCAGGAAGCCCGAAAACCCAAAATATTTTTTTTTCTTTTTTCTTTTTTTTTGGTCGAACTAACTCCAAAAGGTCTGAAACATGTTCCTTAAAAAATATTGGACAGTGATTTTAACCCTAACACCAAAAACCTTAAACCTAATCCTAGCCCCAAAACCTAATACCCGGGTATTACCTTCAGGAAGCCCGAACACCCCAAATATTTTTTTTTTTCATTTTACATTTTTTTATTGGTCTAACTAACTCCAAAAGGTTGGAAAAGACTTCCTACAAAGGTTTTGGACAGTGATTTTAACCCTCACGCCAAAAACCTTAAACCTTACCCTAGCCCCATAACCTAATACCCGGGTATTACCTTCAGGAAGCCCGAACACCCCAAATATTTTTTTTTCATTTTTCGTTTTTTTTTTTTGTCTAACTAACTCCAAAAGGTTTGAAAAGAGTTCCTACAAAGGTTTTGGACAGTGATTTTAACCCTAACGCCAAAAACCTTAAACCTTACCTAGCCCCATAACCTAATACCCGGGTATTACCTTCAGGAAGCCCGAACACCCCAAATATTGTTTTTTCATTTTTCTTTTTTTTTTTGGTCTAACTAACTCCAAAAGGATGGTAAAGAGTTCCTACAAAGGTTTTGGACAGTGATTTTAACCCTCACGCCAAAAACCTTAAACCTTACCCTAGCCCCATAACCTAATACCCGGGTATTACCTTCAGGAAGCCCGAACACCCCAAATAATTTTTTTTTATTTTTCATTTTTTGTGGTCTAACTAACTCCAAAAGGTCTGAAACATGTTCCTAAAAAGGTTCTGGACAGTGATTTTAACCCATACGCCAAAAGCCTTAAACCTTACCCTAGCCCCATAACCTAATACCCGGGTATTACCTTCAGGAAGCCCGAACACCCCCAATTTTTTTTTTTCTTTTTTCTTTTTTTTTCTAGTCTAGCTCCCTCCAAAAGGTTGGAAAAGAGTTCCTACAAAGGTTTTGGACAGTGATTTTAACCCTCACGCCAAAAACCTTTAACCTTTTCCTAGCCCTGTAACATAATACATACATAATATTGCTCTACAAACACATAGTCTAAAAGATAGACAGCATAGCATACCAACTGAGCTGAGTCATTAAACTTTCTACCAACACATAATTTTTACACACAGATTGAGCTCGGAGACTCGACTGGAACATGTGACAGGTCGATATGCGCCGGCCAGTGCAAGCCCTTGATCAGCCTACCTCAAACCGCCAAGTCAACTGACGAAAGCGGGGGCTATCACTCTATCTCTTTCCCACACCTAACCAGCCACTTACCTTCGGACAGACTTGTCACAATATCATTCAGAGAATAGTCTGAGCCCATGCTCCTTCTGTGCACACAATCTCTCACCCCCCCCCCCCTTTATAGAATCTAAGATCTTCCAGTTTCAAGGGTGAGAGTGAATTCCAAAGAATCCTCCACCTTGGAACCTATACTACCACTACATTCCTCAGAAGACTAAACAAAAAACATCTAAACCCTAACAGCAATGACGAAAAGATAAATACTTTTCAAGACAAATTAACTCCTGACCCCACCCTGCCTCCCTCCTTTTCTCCCTCTCTCCTGATCTGTACCTCTCTCTCCTATCAGAGGATGAAAACCAGCAGGTGAGGAGAGTCTCAATGGCGAGTCACGGTGGCAAGATCTATTCTCTTTCTATCACTCGAATCCCTGCATGAGCAGAATGGTGCCAGATGGACCACCTGCTCCCACCACAATCCTCTGTGACTTTTTGACTCTATCCACTTTTAGAACTTAAAATAGTAATCAATGATCAACTGACCAACTCAGCTCAAATCAAACCCAAAACTCTGCCTAGAGAACTCTCACTTCCACGTTTACATATCTCTTTGTATCTTGTGAGGACCGTGAGGAGAGCAGAGCCTAGACCTAGTCGGGTCGGGTGACTATGTCCCTTGCTCACTCTCCTCACATGGATGGTGAGAGCTGGGGAGCTATGGGATGTTTCATCCGCCACCAAATCCCCCTCACCAATCTTTATTTTCCACCATCTCCACCTCTCCCTTAAACCCCCCTCTCCCTCTTCCCTCCTCTCTCTCTCTCTCTCTCTCTCTCTCTCTCTCACACCCCCCCCTCTCTCTCTCTCTCTCTCCCTCATCTCTCTCCCTCATCTCTCCCCCTCTCTCTAACACCCCCTCTTTCTTATTCCCTCCCCTGCCCCTTTATTTTCACCTTCACAGAGGACAAATAGGTGATCTTCAGCCTCGGCCTACCCCAGCCGGGGGGTAACCCCTGTTGGGTCACCTATATTGAGGATTAAGAGAGACCTGAAGGGGAACCGCCGTGCCACCTAAATCCTCCCCCTCTAACATCTTTTTTAACACTCTAAAATTAGCCAGCTAACCCCACTACAAACAACTTCATCAAAAATTTGAATAATAAATACTTATTGATAACTGACCATCAGTGACACCAGACTAAGCTAGTAAAAAAGAACACACATACACGTGCAGATTTTCCCTTAGGACATTGATCAAATTTACATTTCTGTCTGTCTTTTAGGGAACTGTTCTCTGTTTTTAAGCTCACTTCTGTTTTTTGCTATTTGCTCTTGACACTTCTTTTTTTCCTTTTTTATTCTCCTTTCCCTTTTGCAATCCACTTTTGTTCTTCTTTTATTTTTTATTTTTTCATTGTTTTATATTATTTTATTTTATTTTATTTTATTTCATTTTAGGGTTCCTGTGCTTTTGTTTGTCTTCCCCCCTCCCCTCTTTTTTCTTAGGAAGGACTGACTCCTGAGGTTCTCATGCCAGGAAAAATGTACCTCCCTCACTCACGGTTTTACCCACAATCCTTTGCTGCAACAGGGAGATTGATTCCCAAGGCTCTCATGGCAGAAAGGAAGTACCTCACTCACTCACGGTTTTACCCACAATCCTTTGCTGTAACAGGAAGATTGATTCCTTAGGCTCTCATCCCTCAGAACTAAAATACCCACAATCCCTTACGATTGCATACAAATTTAATGTAGCAAAACTAAATTTAAAACAAATAAACTACATTAAAATTAACTTAAAACAACTTGAAAGTTTAAAATACAACCAAGAGACATCCATTCTGGAATACAAACATCGAGAAGAGAACACAACCATGTCTGAGAGGAACAGCACAAACCATGACTCGAGCCCAACTCTGGGGATGTCATCTCCTGTCAAAAGCACATTTAAGTGCTGTGCACTAAAGAGCAATTCCTGTTGCTGTAATTGAGACAAAGCACTGACCACTGTACCAAGAAGACCGACCACCGCCTCGAGGAAGACGCCGCGCCGCCACCTGAAAGAAGACGCCGCACCTCCATCACTCCAAGCCGCCCACCACCGAGCTTTGACCCGCCGACGGCACCGAGTCTCGGCAAACCTTGCCGCGGAGGACCCCGGACTTCAGACACACCGCTGCCGCCGCGGCTGGACAGCTGGAACCTTTTCCCCCCTCCAACAGATTTTAGACTACTGGAAAAGAAACGCCTCACATCAACAACAACATAGGACCACTAGTGTAAGTCTACAAAAAACCTCTCAAACACCTCAAAATTACTCTAAATAGTTAGTTTTGTTTTTGTACTTGAGTTTGTGTCATGTTTGAAGTTTGTGACAACTTATGAACTTGAGTTTGTTTCGCTTGATTTTTTGGCAATTGTTGAACTTGAGTCTTTGGTTTTTAGTGAACTTTAGTTGGTGGCAATTGTTGAACTTGAGTTTGTGGCGTTTGTTGAACTTGAGTTTGTGGCGTTTGTTGAACTTGAGTTTGTGGCAATTGTAAACATTGAGTCTGTATTTTTCTCTGAACATTAGTTGGTGGCAATTGTTGAACTTGAGTTCGTGTGTTTGTTGAACTTGAGTTTTTGTCGTTTAGAACTTGAGTTTGTGGTGTTTTTGAACTTGAGGTTTTGGCAAATGTTAAACTTGATATTTGGGTGTTGTTTGAACTTGAGTTTGTGTCATGTTTGAACTTGAGTTTGTGTCGTGTTTGAACTTGAGTTTGTGTCGTGTTTGAACTTGAGTTTGTGTCATGTTTGAACTTGAGTGTTGTGTTTGAACTTGAGTTTGTTGCAATTTTTGAACTTGAGTCTTTGGTTTTTAGTGAACTTTATTTGGTGGCAATTGTTAAACTTGAGTTTGTGTGTTTGTTGAACCCGAGTTTGTGTCGTGTTTGAACTTGAGATTTTGCTGTTTTGTGATCTTGAATTTGTGTGGGTTTTTTTAACTTGAGTTTTTGGTGTTTTTGAATTTGAGTTTCTGTTGTTTTTGAACATGAGGTTGTGGCAATTTGTTAAACTTGAGATTTGGGTGTTGGTAGAAATTAAGTTTCGGCATTTTTGAACTTGAGTTTGTGGTGTTTTTGAACTTGAATTTGTGTGTTTTTTGAACCTGAGTTTGTTGAACTTGAGTTTTTGGCAATTCTTTAATGTTAATATAGGTTATTTGTTGAATTTGAAATTTTGGCATTTTTTGAACTTAAGCTTGTGGTGTTTGTTGAACTTGAGTTTGTGGCAATTGTTAACATTGAGTCTGTATTTTTCTCTGAACATTAGTTGGTGGCAATTGTTGAACTTGAGTTCGTGTGTTTGTTGAACTTGAGTTTTTGTCGTTTAGAACTTGAGTTTGTGGTGTTTTTGAACTTGAGGTTTTGGCAAATGTTAAACTTGATATTTGGGTGTTGTTTGAACTTGAGTTTGTGTCGTGTTTGAACTTGAGTTTGTGTCGTGTTTGAACTTGAGTTTGTGTCGTGTTTGAACTTGAGTTTGTGTCGTGTTTGAACTTGAGTTTGTGTCATGTTTGAACTTGAGTGTTGTGTTTGAACTTGAGTTTGTTGCAATTTTTGAACTTGAGTTTTGAACTTGAGTCTTTGGTTTTTAGTGAACTTTATTTGGTGGCAATTGTTAAACTTGAGTTTGTCGCGTGTTTGAACTTGAGTTTGTGTTGTTTTTTCACTTGAGGTTTTGGCAATTGTTAATCTTTAGATTTGGGTGTTGGTTGAACTTAAAACTTTGAAATTTGTTTAAATTTACTTTGTGGTGTTCATTTAACTTGAGTTTGTGGTGTTTTTGAACTTGAATTTTTGTGTTTTTTTTAACTTGAGTTTGTGGTGTTTTTGAACTTGAATTTGTGTGTTTTTTGAACTTGAGGTTGTTGCAATTTTTGAACTTGAGTTTGTTGAACTTGAGTTTTTGGCAATTGTTAAATGTGAGTTTAGGTCATTTGTTGAATTTGAAATTTTGGCATTTTTTGAACTTAAGATTGTGGTGTTTGTTGAACTTGAGTTTGTGGCAATTGTTGAACTTGAGTCTGTATTTTTCCCTGAACTTTAGTTTGAATTTTTGTGTGTTTTTTGAATTTAAGTTTGTGGCAATTGTTAAACTTGAGATTTGGGTGTTGGTTGAACTTGAGTTTGTGGTGTTTTTGAACTTGAGTTTGTGTGTTTGTTTAACTTGAGTTTGTGGCGTGTTTTGACTTGAGTTTCTGTTGTTTTTGAACTTGAGGTTGTGGCAATTGTCAAACTTGAGATTTGGGATTTGGTTGAACTTGAGTTTGTGTCATGTTTGAACTTTGGTTTGTGGTGCTTTTTAACTTGAGTTTGTGGCGGTGTTGAGCTTGAGTTTGTGGCGTGTTTTAACCTGAATTTTTGTTGTTTTTCTTACTTGAGGCTTCGGCAATTGTTAAACTTTAGATTTGGGTGTTGGTTGAACTTAAAACTTTGACATTTGTTGAACTTATGTATGTGGTGTTCATTGAACTTCAGTTTGTGTCTTGTTTGAACTTGACTTTGTGGTGTTTTTGAACTTGAGTTGGTGGTGTTTTTGAACTTGAGTTGGTGGAAATTGTTGAACTTGAGAATTGGGTGTTGGTTGAACTTGAGTTTCTGGTGTTTTTGAACTTGAGTTTGAGTTTGTTTGTTTGTTGAACTTGAGTTCGTGGCGCGTTTGAACTTGAGTTTGTGTTCTTTTTGAACTTGAGGTTGTGGAAATTGTTAAACTCGCCCTCCTCGAGCCATCATGAAGGCGGAGGTGGCGGGGGTAGAGCAGCAATGAACAAAACCCCCCTGGAACAGGAGCGCTTTAAGGACAGCGGAGCAATTAGCTGGCACGAGGGTGGAGCTGGTGTGGCAGTGTGTTGCTGGTTTGCTGTCAGAGCAGAGGAAGAGGCTGGGTTAGTGCAGTTTTAAATAAGGCACTCTATAGGCAAAGAACCAATAGGATCTAGGTGTGAATCAGCTGATTATCATCTGGTTGAGGTGGCTACTAGCCATTGGCTGTGGATCAGCGCTTGACGTTGTGTCCTGACAGAACTAACGCTATGCTTCATTTCAGTCAGGTACACTTTGTCCAAATTTTTAGCTTTATTGTGCAAGTTAGATTTGGCGGCATGATTCTGTTCCGGGTCCCTGCCCTTCCACGCGCTTGTGTGGAAGCCCAAGGCAGGAAGAGCCCCTTCCTGCCTTTCACGAGCCATCATGAAAGGCGATAGCAGGGAGCGCACGCGAGGTTCTGTTCAGGGCCCCCGTTCTCCA